ACCTCGTGTTCTGTGGAGGGAGGGAGAAGAGGATTAGTGAAGGGTTTTAGCAAGGACACATGAAAGGTGGGGGAGATCCGATAATGGGCAGGCAGGTGTAACCGGTACGTGACTTCGTTGATGCGCCTTGCTATGGGGAAAGGACCTATGTACCGGGGACTCAGCTTCCTGCTGGGCCGCCGGAGGCGGATGTCCCGGGTGGATAACCAGACTTGGTCCCCTGGTTGATAGATGGGATTGTCGGACCGACGAGTGTCTGCATTGGCCTTGTGCCTCCGGACGGCCCGCTGGAGATGGACATGTGCTGAGTCCCATACCCTCTCGCTCTCACGGAACCAGTGATCTACCGCTGGGACCTCTGAGTGATCCTCGGTCCAAGGAAACAGGGGCGGCTGGTAACCGAGCACACATTGGAATGGGGTGAGTCCGGTGGTTTCCTGGCGCAAGGAATTTTGGGCGTACTCGGCCCAGGGTAGGTACTGGCTCCAGCTGTCCTGATGGTCATGACAGTAGGCCCGGAGATACCGTCCGATCTCCTGGATCTTCCGTTCGGTCTGGCCGTTGGTCTGGGGGTGGTATCCAGAGGACAAACTGACCGATGTTCCCAGGAGGTGGAAAAACCCTCGCCAGACCCTGGAGATGAACTGAGGGCCTCTGTCGGAAACAATGTCTTCCGGGAGACCGAAGTTCCTGAATACGTGTTGGAAGAGGGCTTCGGCTGTTTCCAGGGCGGTCGGTAATCCACGCAGTGGGATTAATTTGCAGGATTTGGAGAACCGGTCGACGACTATCCGAGAGACCGAAGTTCCTGAATACGTGTTGGAAGAGGGCTTTGGCTGTTTCCAGGGCAGTAGGTAATCCCCGCAGTGGGATTAATTTGCAGGATTTGGAGAACCGGTCGACTACTAGAATGGTCGTGAATCCATTCGAGGGAGGTAAGTCGGTAGCAAAGTCCACCCCCAGGTGGGACCGGGGCCAGCGAGGGATGGGTAACGGGACCAGTTTACCCTCAGGCAGACGACGTGGCGTGGTGGAGATGGCACAGACCGAACATCCTTTGATATAACGGATGACATCTCGGGCCATGTTGGGCCACCAGTAGCGGTTCTGGAGAAGCGAGAGGGTTCGGCGGCTGCCTGGGTGTCCCGATCCCGGAGAGGTGTGAACAGAGTCCAGAAGGATCATACGCAGGGTGGATGGGACATAGTTCTTCCCCTCTGGGCCTCCCGGCGGAGCGGGTTCGGTGAGAGTGGCGGCACGGATTTGGTCGTGGAGTGCCCACTGAATGGGAGACATGAAGACTGAAGGTGGCAGGATGGACTCTGGTTCGTCGGGGGTAGGATCTGGCTGGTGTTAGCCAGTTCCGAACGGCATCCACCTTCCTCTGGTCCATTTGCACCCCTGCGGGGGTGACGATGTAGCCCAGGAAGTGAACGGTGGATTGGTGAAACTCACATTTCTCCGTCTTTAGATACAGGCGGTGTTGGCGGAGGCGTTGGAGTACCTTGGTGACATGGTCATGGTGTGCTTCGAAATTGGGTGAATAAATGAGTATATCGTCTATGTAGATGAGGACGAACCGGTTGAGCATGTCTCTGAAGATCTCATTCATAAAGTTTTGGAATATGGAGGGTGAGTTGGAAAGCCCATAGGGCATGACCCGGTACTCATAGTGCCCGGTGGGCGTCACAAAGGCAGTTTTCCATTCGTCACCCCTGTGAATGCGGATGAGATTATAGGCGCTCCTTAGGTCCAGCTTGCTGAAGACGCAGGCCCCGCGGAGCTCCTCCAAGGCGGCAGGGACCAGAGGAAGGGGATAGGCGAACTTCACCGTCTGGTCGTTTAGGGCACGGTAATCGATGCAAGGCCTCAGACCTCCATCTTTCTTGGCCACGAAGAAGAAGCTCGAACGTACTCCTCCATAGCGGCTCTCTCCGGGATCAACAGTGGATAGACGTGTCCTTTGGGTAATTGGGCCCCAGGCAGCAGGTCAATGGCACAGTCCCATGGCCGGTGAGGTGGAAGGTGAGTGGCTGCGACCTTGCTGAACACGTCCTGGAACGCCTGATATTCGGGAGGA